TTGATGGATGCTGGGTAGGTGCATGGCCGAGTCATTACAATATTGATATTCTGACAGGGCTGGGGTTCATTATGGTCGATTTGTCAGGGAGGTGACAATAATAATAATATATTTTGTTGGTCTCTTGCTCAACTGTGCCCCACACATAATAATGAAAGAGGGTTGTAGTCTGTGGAGTTAGCTGGCTAGATGTAAGTGGTGATGGGGTCACAGAAATTGTCTGACAGCCATGACTGAGTTCTCCTGCTTGTTTGGCATGGTGCAGAGTCCTGTTGTCAGACATATGGTCTTCCAGTAGCCACTCTCTTGACCTAGGACAGCACTACCTCCTCAAGGCACTTCATGTAGGCTTCTGTGTTGAGTGCGGGGTCCTGTGTGAAGATGAATGGAAGCATAATGCCAACATCACTAATGGTCACTCCAAACACGTTCATAATCAACATTAGAATCATCCAAACCTTTCCAAATCCTCTAAACTGTCCTCATATTGACATCCAAACACTTTTAAATGTCTGTATTGGAGGTTCTGACAGAAATGCCAAGCAATGTGACAATGTGCAGTTGACAAAATCCGAAACAAACGATGCACATGCACAAAATTAAAAATATAAAATGGCGACAATTTACCAATCGCACCCTCTATGTGTCTGCAACAGAGACTGGCTAGCCATTCTTGCAGACAGACACACCCAGTTATAAGCAGTGAACCATACAATGAATACTGGATTTTAATATTAGTCAAACAAAGATGTTTCATTTTTCATTCTCATGTGTAAATCTGCATCCTATCTGATGGCTTTGTTAAAAGTAAAATTAACCAAATGGTAGAAAACAAAGTAACTAACATTATGTAGAATAATTATGTTTTTAAAAAAATTCACCAAATACAATGTTTAAGAGACACTCAAGGTAGGGGCTATTATTAAAATGGTTATGTTGAAAGATGTATGATATAAATGAAAGTGATGGTGGTAAGAAGTGAAAATTATAAGGATAAGAAGAATATATAATGATTGATCCTTTACTTGAAGAGACTGTAGTGCTCAGTAAAGCATCCATGTGGGAGTCCGTTCCAAAAAATAACATTTCTTGAGAAAAAAACTCTCTGCATAGAATTTTCTCCTTATATTACAAAGGAAATGAGTGTGATTTAACTCCTTGAAATAACATGGCATATCCTCACTAGTTTATTTCTTTTTCTGTGTTGTTATTATTCATATCAGTTTTTGTTCATCTCTCTTTAATTCTATTATCATTTTTGTATTTTTCAATGGGGTCACTTCTTACCAACATCAGTATTTGTTTTCTATCTCATGAATATACCATTTTTGTAAACAATTATAAATTATGATTTTCATCAACATTATTCCCACTTATAAGTTTACCAATACTGTAAAAATAGCTGCAATATTCAACTAATTGTAATTGCATTGATTGCATTTTGTTTTATCTCTACAATTAATTGTTGTAAAGTGTATATGAGGGTTGTTCAAAAAATTCTAAGTCTCACCCAGAAAGAAGAGCCATAGCTGAATATTTTTGTTGTGGCAACATACTACAACTTCTTATAAAACTAGAGAAAATAATTCAGATTTCTTTCTTAATTTTCAAGGCCCATTCAAAGGTGAGAGGTGTTTGAGAAATCTAAAAATGAACAAAACAGATGTGCAAGCAGTCATAAAGTATTGGCAAAAGAAAGGTATGACACCCAAGAAAATCCATAAGGACATGGTACAGACACTTACTGATGACTCCTCTTCCTATGCAACTGTGAAAAGGTGGAATGCAGAATTAAGCAAGGAAGAGACATTGCAGAAGATGACTCTTGGTCAGGTCATCCAAAAACCTCAACTTCTGATGAATAAGTTAGTACCATTCACTGTATGGTTTTGAATGACAAACATTGTACTGTTGAGCAAATAGCTAAGTCCATAGATATTAGTTCTACTTTGTTCCATACTGTTTTTAACTGAGATCTTGGGGATGGGCAAGCTGTCTGCAAGATTGGTCCCAAGAATGCTGACACCAGAGCAGAAACTGAAAAGGGTTGACACTTTTGACTCCCTTCCAGACTCACCCTGAGAATTTCTACTGCAGATTAGTAAGTCAAGATGAAACCTGAGTTCAATACTTCGAACTGGTATCAAAGATTCAGAGCAAACAGTAGAAACTCCGGTTCTTCACTCCACTCCTGTTCAAGCAGGCAGCGTCTGGTGGTAAGGTGATTCTTTTGGGGGATTCTGAAGGTGTAATCATGATAGACTACCTGCAAAAGCTATTAATAAGTACTATGCATCAGAATTAAGACAACTGAAGAAAACAATCAAGTGAAAATGCAGACGGTAGGTGAGCTCTTGCTCCAGGATGACACACCCATTCATGTCTGCAGTAGCTGAAGCAGCCTACTGTGGTTTTGAATTGCTATCCCATCCCCTTACTCACCAGACTTAGCTCAATCTGACTTCTTCCTTTTTCCTAAACTCAAATCCTACCTGCATGGTCACCATTTTGGAAACAATGATGAGATCATATGTGCTGTGGAAGAATTTTTGGAGGACCAGGATACCACATTCTTCCATGATGTGATTGCAATGCTTAAGTATCACTGGACCAAGTGCATTGATGTCAAAGAGGACTATATTGAAAAATAGTGAAAACTGTCTTGTTCCTCCAACTCCTTCTGAACTTTTTGAGCAACCCCATAAGAAAGAATTCTGTTTAATAAATAATTAAAGAATTTTGCATATTAAATCATTAAATGTAAAATTAAGCACAGTGCTAGATTGGTAGCAAGGTCTCATCATTTTACAGTTGAAATGATGAGATGTAATCATAAGTTATATGCTAACAATTTCTTTTAACACACTTCTTGCTTGTGGAACTCTCTTCTTGCTTTCCAGTCAATGCTGATCACCAAAAACTTAAATGTAATGTCACTCTGTCTTCTTAATTACTATTAATAACATTCTCCTTTTTCTTATATTCCTTTTCACTCAGTAAAACCTTGTGTCTTAGTGGCTTTATTGTCTTGCTTGGGGTGAAATGATTAAAAAGTTATATAAAAAAGTAAAAATAGTATAAAAATATCAACAAAAATAAAGAAGAATAAAATAAAAAATAAAAAGAAGACAATAAAAAAGACATAAATAAAAACGAAAGTGGAGGCATAACAAAGAAATAAAAAGCAGAGTATTAGCAAACTGATCTCCCCTACTTACTAATGATGTATTCCATTGTTATATTTTTAACACCATGCATGTTTATTATTAACATTGATTAATACCTCCTGTTAAAGGTCAAAGAGTGACTGAACCTTCTTATGGAAACAATGGCGATCTAAAACAATGACTGTGTTCCATAGTCATGTTTGCAGCCAATGTGGTGATGACATTGTGATGACATGCCCATGAACAGATTGAGCCATCACATTGAAGGACATTGGCTGTGATGCATGAATAAATACAATTCCAGCTTTCAAGCAGATATATGGAAGGAACTAATCAAGGGGATCATTTGTATAGTGACCTCTATGATCACACCAGGACATGAGACTGCTGCTGCTGCTGCTGCTGCTGCTGATGATGATGATGATGATGATGATGATGATGATGATGATGATGATGATGATGATGATAAATACCTCCAGTTACCTTAATGGAATATCTCAGTATCTCAAATAGGATGATACAGATGTGGGATAAATATATAAAGTCATGAGTTGCCATGTTATCAAATAGATCAGTTCTGAGCCATATGTGACTCGCTTGGCTTTCTGAATGACATGCTTAATTTCATGTAAAAAATAGCATTTATTAAGTTTTCTTTCCTTCTCACTTGTTCACTCACTTTTTCATACATAACCAAATACATAAACAATGGAACTCACAACTCTTTGGGTTAAGTCACTTCTTGCTCAACCAGCCAACGTTTTTATCCACTAAATAAGGCCAGAACATACAATGGCCAAAATGTTGTGAATATGACAATAAAGATGAGATCAGTTCAAACAATGTCAGTAATGCAAATAGATTTCTTGAATTTTGTAACTTTTCATTGAAGATAACATTTTCATGATTTTAAACCATCAATGATTTTCACTATGAAAGATCATGAGTATAAGAATCTTTTGCTTTAGTAACATGACATTAATTATTTTTTCCTCTGGATAAGAAATATATTTTCTATTTTTAAAATTATTTTTTATATTTTCAAATGAATAAATAAGAAACAAATCACACACAGCTGTATACATTAATCATATTGTCATTAATAATAATAATATTATACCCAGAATCCATTTTTTAATTATGAGATATCAAACAAAAAAAAACAATGAACCTTTGTCCATTTCTAAGCCTATCATCCAGTTCATACACCTGCCCATTTTTTTGAACAGGAGAAGAGGTTTTTCCCTTGTTTCCTGTTTAGGATTAGGTTTCCATTTCCTTCTATAGTTTACTTCAATTCTATATGTCTAATGTCTCTGTTATTTACTATTCATTTACTTTTTTTCCTCAATAGAATAAGATAGGTTCATCTATAATCCGATTCATACTCCTTCTCTGGTCTTTTGAACAGGTGTGGTGGTTTATTCTTTGTTTCCTGTTCAGGATTGAGTTTCCAGTTAGTCTTTTCCTTGTCTTTTACTTCTGGTGGCCCATTGTATCTTGGTGGCATTATCACCTTGTTTGGGTGGTAACTCTTACTTTGTAACCCTCAGGTGGATCTTGGGCCTTATTCAGGGTGAACATCAATGTAAATGGAAGGCAGATGCTTACATATATGGTCTACTTTGATGAAAATGGCTGCAACACCTTCAATGAAAGATGACCTTGAATATTTTTAGTTTTGCAGCCTCCCTTATGAGCTGCCATATCTGATGCACCCCACAGTTTAGAAAAGGTTGTCCATACTTGAAATAGTTTTTTAAATATTTTAATAACTATTGTTCTTGTTTACTCTATTTTGTTCTTTTTATCATTGACAATAAATAATGCTTATGGCCACATTGCATTGAAACACCAGTTCCTGCATGATCACTGAAGTTAAGCAATGTCAAGCCTGGTAACTACATTGATGGGTGGCCACTTGGAAATACCAGGTACTGTAATCTTGGATGTACAAATGGTGTAATGTATAATGGCTCAGAATTGTTAATCAGAGAACCAAGTACCAATTCCAGTTGGGTTTGTTATATTCACTTAGATACAAATACCCTTGGGAAAGAAATCGATAGATCTCTTCTTCCTACAGCTATGGGTTGATTAGTAAGGTTTGTATTACTAAACTATTATTATCTCCCAAAAAAAAAATTCTTAAAATCTAAAAATATTTTCTGACTTTAAATAACCTTCAAAGTGTTGATAAGCTGTAGAAAATGAATGAATGAATCAATCAAATACTGATTAGCCACGCAGGCATGTCTTTTAGATTTGTTTACATTCTCTGGAATATAAATGTATAGAAACTACGTTTACCAAAAAGTGAGGGATCGGTTTATATATTAATAATAGAATTGATCCCCCCACTTTATATCAATATTATAATTTCTTGTTTTTTTATCAAATTCTGGTTTGGCATGAATTTGCCTCAACTCCCCCAGCTATGGGTTAATTAGCAAAACTTGTATCAGTCAGTTAGTTATGTGCCATATACATGCTTAGGCAAAAATGTATCTTTCGATACATGACTGATGAGACAGATTTTTTCCTGTAGTAAGTTGCCATTTCTTTCTGCAGTAGGCCAGTTGTCATACAAGGCTATAGAACCCAGTTTGTCCAGTTATTTACCCATAGCTGAGGGAAGAAAAGGGTTCAGACCTTATCAAAGGGTATTAGCATATAAGTGAATGTAATGGATTTGATTGGAATTCAAACTTGGCTCTCTGATTCCTCAATCCAAGCCACTGTCCATTTACTAAAATTCTTACAATCAAAATTATTTTCTGGCTTCAAATGACATGCAAAAGGTTGATATGCCAAAGAAAACAAAAAAGGAAAGAATCAATTAACAACTTATTCAAATAAATTTCTGTTAATTTTTTAAATTGTTAATAGTCTGTTAGTATCATTAACATCTGTGAAATAATTTATTGGTGTTTTCTTCAATCATTTTGTCACTTTCCATCCAAAAGGTCTGCTTCTAGTTTTTTTCAGAAATTGTTGGAAAGAATGCCAATAATTTGTAAAGCAGTAATTAAGGCAGGTGTTGGTTTCATTGACAAAAACAAAATATGATGCTGTTGTATGATAATTTTTATAGTTAAGTGCTTAATTTTTGCCAAAATAAAAGCAAATACACAGTAGTTACTTAAATTTTATCTTTTACTTTAAAAAAATATAAAAAAAATATCTCATTTTAAGGTGCATTTAAAGAAATACAAGGTGACCCTAAACTTTTGCATATAGGATACATCTATTGAATTAAATATCAATTCAAAAGACACATGGAAACAAGGTCAGTTATTTACTGTATGTACATATTTATGTTTGTGTATGTAAGAATGTATGTGTGTGTATGCTGGAACATTTGTTTGTGTGTGTTCTTATATGTGCATGTGATCATGTGTATGTGTGCACCTAGAATGCATATGTGCATATGAACATGTGTGTACATGCCCCCATATGTTTGCTTTTATATGTGTGAGCATGCATTGGTATACATGAGCACCTTTGTGTGGACGTGCACACGTATATGCTTTTATGTGTGTGAGCATGTGCTGGTATCTGTGTATTCATATGTATTCATCATGTTCATATATCTGTGTGCATGTATTTGTGTGTGTGTATATATGTATATGTGTGTATGTGTTCATGCATGTCTGGGCATGCATTTGTGTGTGCACTTATGTGTGTATGCATGTGTGTGCACCTTTTCATGTACATGTGCGTGCTTTTATGTGTAAGATCATGTGCTGGTATCTATGCATGTTTGTGTACATGTTTATGTATTTATGTGTGTGTATGTGTGTATGCATATGTGTGTGTGAAAATTTTCACTCTGATATCATTACCGCTGATATCATTTACTCACTGAATGCTTGTGGCTGTGTGACAGTTTATTTTGCTGAAATCACGTCTTTGTTTTACTTGTGATTTCATTGTACAGCTTCTACTTTCCAAACTCTTTCTCCATCTTCTATGCATTAAAGCGAAACACATTCATTAAGTCCAGAATTTTTTCTTTTCTCTCTTTAATCCAATTTATTACCATGATTATCAATGTTAATAATTTTATCTTCATTTAAAAGATTATACATTAATTACACAATGCTGTCAAATTATTCTCAGCTAAAACAAATAACATTAACCATTGCATATTTTGTTTTGAATGGTTTCCTTTCATCTGAAAAACTCTATACTGTGAATAATGTTGTTCTTTTACATTCTGTATGCATCTAGGCTTGTATTCTTACATATTCCCATGTAAGTGTGTAAACCAACTGGTTAGCTGTCCTGGGTATGACGATAAACTACATCTGCGTTCTGGGTAAGACAATAAACTACATCCAACAGCCAGGCCTCTACCTCTTAATTGCTGGTATTCCCAGGTCCACCCTGACCCGAGTTGGTAGCATCTGTTAAGTTCTCAGCTATGGGTAAATAGTTAACCCTCAAACTGGGGTCAAAACACTATGAAAGTGTAAAAATAGGTTTAAATACCAGAAATACTTTGTAAAAAATTATTACCAGCAATAAATTTTTGAAGAAAAATTATTAATAGCAATACATTATTACCAGCAGTACATTTTTGAAAACAAAAAATTGTCAGCAATACATTTTTGAAAAAAAAATATTACCAGCTATAAAAATCTTGTTGACATTAAATAACCCATTAAGGTTGATATGCCATAAACCAAACCAAAAACCAACTGGTTAGGATATTAGCATTGTAACCATGAAATTCAGGTTCAATTCTCATCCGGTTTGATTTGCCAGATTGATGACTTACTGACAATATCAACCTGAAGAGGCTAACCCAGCATGCAGCCCCACTAGGAACTACCTGAAAACTAAATGGGTTGACCCAAGCATTGTGAGTGAAATTGGGCAGATGGAACTGTTCAGAAGCCATCGATGGGTATGCTAGCAGCATTGATTAAATTGTTAGTGCATGAATTTGGTGATATAGTAATTGTGAGTTCAATCCCTGAGCTGGGCAGTGTGCACTTGGACTCAGTGGAAACAGGGTAAGCAATAAATGAGCAGTACTAACATAATAACAAGACAAGATATCTGTAAACATGTCATCATGACCAAGGATTTGAGCATATTGGTCTTGTTCAAACTGTTCATCATGCCAGGTTATGCACTCTCTTCCAAGAACTGTAAGTTCCACTCAGCATAGTTGCAGTATAAACCCATGGTTGTCTCTGTGGGTGTTGAAGAAACACCAATGTGCCTGAGCAGACATCTGCAACAGGGATAAGCTAGCCTCCTTAGCAGCCAACTATACAGACTCTTATAAGACTTTTCTCACATTCATCTCTCTCTCTCAAGGGAGTGTATTCTTTAAATTAATTCAATGTTCTAGGTTTACTATTAGCCTGCTTGCTTCATTTATGTTCTTGATGTTCATTTTGCTTTTGAAAGTATCAGTAGTCTTTTTATCAATCAGAAAGGAAGGGTACTTGTGGGGACCAAGATTAATGCATATGTGGGAATGGGACGTGTGTGTAGCATAGTATAGCAGTTATCAGTTAAGAATGTGAAATCTGAATGCTGTGTTCAAATTCTGTTTGCATACATTGTTTTGCTTTTGCACAAATACTTATATCTTCTCCTGCCACATCTAGGTTAATTAAGCACAATACAGACCGAACTCTACAGCCTTAGTTGCCAACCAGTTTAGGAGAAGCACAATTCTGAATTCAAAAACCAGTTGGGTGTGTGGTTGACAACCTTACCTGTAAAAAAAACTATTTGCCACAGAAATCACAGCAACACTTAGTATGGTGAGACTGTGGTCCTATACTTCACAGGGGAGTTTAATGACACTAAGATGGTGGAAAAGATGGAATGAAAGGTGAGGTAAAATATGAACTGAGTGTGAGGAGAATTTTTTTTTTTTTGCTCCAGATTGCCAATTTATACAACTTTCAGAATTTATTTTTTTAAAAGACTGTCATAATAGTTTATTAAATAAAATGGGACTTTGTTGTTATTATCACAATGTTTCAGCTGTTGTGTCCCCTGCGCTTTATCAGGTGTAAATTTATCTGGGTAACCCACAGGGAATTTCAAACTGAACCGTTATTTAATCTACGGAGGTAAACTGTTCTCATTCAGTTTAGGGATATCTTGTCTAGTTATTATTTTAATACTGCTCATTTATTGCTTGCCCTGTTTCCAAGTGCACACTGATTGACTCAGGGATTGAACTCACAATTACTATATCACCAAATTCATGTACCAACAATTTAATCAACTAGACAACTGTCCTGTATTGTATTGTTATATTACTTTGTTAAATAAAATAAAATATTATTATAACACTTTATTAAATAAAATAAAATATTGTTATAATACTAATTATTTTCAGACTATTGTCTTTATCGGTGTTGTTATCACAATTTTTTGGCTGTTGTGCCCTCTGGACTTTAACAGGTTTTTATTGATCCAGATAACCTACAGGGAATTCCAACCTAAACCCTTTATGTAATCTATAGAGACAAACTCTTCTGATTCCACTGCCCATATCTAGGGATAGCTAGTTTAGTTATTTTTATTACTGCTCACTTATTGCTTGCTCTGTTTCCACTGAGTCCAAGTACACACTGCCTGACTCAGGGATTGAACTCACAATTTCTATATCACCAAATCTATGAAACAACATTTTAATCCACTAGACAACTGTCCTGTATTGTATTGTTATAATATTTTATTAAATAAAATAAAATATATTTATAATACTTTATTAAATAAAATAAAACTACTACTAATGCAAACAGTTTTCCCAGAGTGTAGTGGCAGTAGCAGTAGCAATGACAAGTTAGTTCACAAATAATCTCCACAGATTTAATGCAGTTTAATGCTGAGATTATCATTGCGGCCATCAAATTTATCAATAAAACATTCTTAGTTAATTCTCCCAGTTTGTGAACTTTCACTTG